ACTTCAGTGGGATGCCCAGCCCAGAACAATGGCAGGATACACGACCCTAAACATTTCTGCAGTGCTTTGAAAGATGAAAAGCAGTGACTTTTCTACCTATGTCAGTGGAGGGGCAGGGAAACGCTTCATGATGTTTATAGCAGACATCACGGACATTACACATGGAAACATGGGAAATGGGGCACTCTTCTTGCAGGGAGATAATCTTTAATAGATGGCAACTAGGAAATAAAAGCATTTGGTACACAACAGCCTGCCCCTGACTGCAGGGTGTTTGCCCGAGGAACTTGGCCACAGCCACAGATGTTTCCTCCAGAGCCAGAAGTGCTGCAAGGGGCTGTTCCTCCTGAGGAACCGGAATGAGAGAAATCCCTGCACATGCTTTTCCTCCCTCTCCTCGCCCCTGTGGAGAAAAACACAGCCCCAGTGCTAGATTTTTCAATGGAGACATTCCCCTAAAAACCATTTGCTTCTCCCTTTGGAGCAGTAGAAGATGATGAAATAGAAAAACACATTAAAAAGAGGCATGACTTGAAGACAGTGTTTAACCACCCCTTTTCTGACATATTTTAATGGTGTCCTCAGATAATGGGATAAAGCCTCTGTCCTTACAGCCCTGGAAGGGATCAGGGACTAATGTGGAGATGTTGGAGAGGCTGATGGGGACCTGGATGTGACTCAGGAAAGGCTCTACTCCCTTCCCACCCTGATGGTGAAATTATTTTTCCCTGTTTTCCTCCATGGACACAAACAGTCTCTGACTCTTGTCACTCAGAGAAGACTACACAGCAACACAGCTTGTTTACTCGCTGTTGTCTTCGTGGATTGAAGCTGTGTGGCCTTGTCCCTCTTCCAGGAAATGCATGGACAGAGCTGTGTGAAGGAAAACCCTCCTGCCTGTACAGTTTGCAGTGCTGAGTGGCAACGAGCCACCTCGCTTTTATTGTTAGCAGATCACAATGTTGCCTCACTGCTCTGTGCCACACACCACGCTGTGACTAACATCATCCAACAAAAGAAAATCCCCTGCAAAGTGACCATGTCCTCCAGCCTGATGGAGCTGGTAGAAGCTCTGTTCATCCCATACTGTTTTACTTCCTCATCCTCTCCGAGAAGAAGGGCAGAATAGCCCTGGGAAGGTCACATCCGTGATGTGACACCTCGGGTGGTCGCTGCTCCAGGAGAGCCAAGCTGGGCTCAGTCACACCAGGACCAGCCCCTGGAACTGCTCAGCATCTTCCCCCACTGAACCCTCCAAACGAGGAGCTGCAGCAGCAGCAACATCCCAACTTGTTTGTGCCATGAAAGGAGCTGAAAAGAATGTGCTGAACCACATGACAGGCGAGGACATCAGAGAATAGAGAGAGCTCGTTTTTAATTGCTTCTGAACAAAGTTGGCTCAGGAAAGTATTTCCCATTGTACTGCTGAACTTTTCTTCTCATCACACAGCAGTGAGACGCAGGCTGTGCTGCTGCTGAACCAAGGCTGTGTTAGGGATCACTTCACTCCCTATTAGAAGCAGACTAGACATCTATCACCAGCATTTCAGGCTTTTCTGCAGCATCCAGGCATTTTTCTGCCACTGTTGATGTTTTTATCACGAGTCTTAAGCAGCAAAACTGGGCCAGTATCCACCTGAATGATGCACATTTTATATCTATGTAGGCACAGCCAAGGTCAACCTACAGCAGGGCCACAGCTACAGCAGGCACAGAATGAAGAATTATGACTTAATATTCTCATCTTTAAAGCCTGTTAATTCAGACAGTCAATTCCTCAGGGCACGGACTTTATGGTTTGATTGTTGGTATCTTGCACAGTCTTGGCCCGGGCCAAAGTAAAATATAAGCAGGCTTCAGTTCCTCGAGTTTCATTATGAGATCAGAGTCCAAGGATTCAATAAATTCTATTGCATTTCAGAGTTTTGTGGACTTAAACATGAGTCCCTTCTGACTTTTCCCTAACTGATGCCTTCATGAGCATGCAGAGAGCCTGGAACAATAGATCTAAGAGATGCAGAGTGCCCCATTCACTTTTTCTACAGGATCTGCTGTTTTCTCAAGGAGGAACTTGGGTCAGCCCACAAGAAGAAATCCACATCACACAGCTGAAGACACCAGAAGGCTGTGTAGGCCTGTGCCTTGGGCATTCTTGTGTTATTTAATTAAATAGCAATTTGGTGTCCTGCACTGAAATGTCTTTTAGCTGAAGATGAGCAACTGCCCAAACAGCAGGAAGAGCCCCATCCTTGCCCCCACTTCCCTGGCTCTCCCAGGCAGAAACTGCACTGACTTCAGAGTGGGACTTAATGACTTTAGGATGGCAAAGCCTGAAAGATCTTGACATTTACTAATAACCTGAATTAAAAGTAAAAGGATCAAAGAATCATTATTCCACTCCATTCAAAATGCTAATGATGGAGTGTGAGCTTAAATTTATAGGAATTATTTTTCCTCTCTGAGCCCAAATAGAGTTCATAGAATCATAAAGGTTGGAAAAGCCCTCCCAGCCCCTTGAGTCCAACCTGTGCTCGATCCCTACCTTATCACCCAGCCCAGAGCACTGAGTGCCATGTTCAGTCATTCCTTGGACACCTCCAGGGATGGGGACTCCACCCCACCCCAGGCAGCCACTTCCAATGCCTGACCACCCTTTCCATGAAGAAATTCTTCCTGATGTCCAACCTGTTTTATACCTGTCTAGTTAATATCTCCTCATAGTGTGGTTTGGGGTTCAACTGCCAACTGGGAAAGTAACAGGCTATTAGGTAAGTCCTTTGAGATATGGCCTCAAAATACAGGACAGAAAAAAGTGACAGGCTGGAAAAGAACCAGATCTGTTCCTCTGGATACAGACCCAGCACTGCTCACCTGTGGGGCTCACCCAGAACCAAAACTGCAAACAGAAAAACATCCAGACATGTTTGTCCAAAACCTGCCCCTGACTGCACCCAATGCTGACAAGGAAAGCAAGCAAACCTAACACATTTACAAAGCACATAAACATATTTGCTCTGAACCTACAGATGTTAAGAAGAGAAATAAGGGAGAGGATGTAATTCCCACAAATTTGACCAGAACAGGCTGGTTCCATCTGAAACACAACAGGGGAAGTTTGAGATGCTGGAAGTTTTCATTGGCAGAGTAACTGGCTTTTAACTGCTAAGGTCACCTGGACATCTTCACCAAAGCAAGAAGCCTCACAGAGTGAAAAGGCATATCCAGTGATCACATTACTTAATTTGCCATCATTTGGAAGGGGCAGGTAGTGATGCATAATTAGTTTTTTTGCTTTTCCTTCCTCTGTTTTTGAAGCTCATGATGTGGTGGGTGTGTTTTAGCAGTAACACAACCCCTGACTCTCCCCCTTGACGTGCACAGGCACTGAAATGAGACACAGAGGGCTCTGCAGTGCTGATGTTTCAATTCAGACTAAGTGATACTGGAAATCATTTTGAGCTGGAGAAAGAGCATTTCAGAGCACTGAACGATTTATTTTTTTCCGGAAACCTTTCTTTTGTTGCCCTTAAAAGAAGCTCACAGAATGGTTTGGGTTCAAAGGGACCTTAAAGATAATCCACTTCCAACCCCCTGCCATGGGCAGAGACACCTCCCACTAGACCAGGTTGCTCAGAGCTCCATTCAACCTGGTCTTGGACACTTCCAGGGATGGGACAGCCACAGCTTCTCTGGACAACCTGTGCCAGGGCCTCACCACCTTCACAGGGAAGAATTTCTCCCTAATATCTAATCTGAACCTCCTCTCTGCTAGTTTGAAGCCATTCCCCCTTGTCCTGTCACTCTAGGCCCTTGTAAATAGTCCCAGTCCCTCTGGAGCAGGAGTTATCTTCCATTTGGAAGGCCATAATCAGGTCACCCTGAAGCTTCTCTTTTCCAGGCTGAACTATCCCAATTCTCTCAGCCTTTCCTCACAGCAGAGATGCTCCATCTCTCTGATCATCTTGGTGCCTCCTCTGGACTTGCTCCAACAGCTCCATGTCCTTACTGTGCTGGAACCCCAGAGCTGGAGGCAGTACTGCAGCTCCAATGCTTTCCTTGAGCCCCTCCCTATAGAGGCACACGATAACGATGAGAACTTTTTATTTGATTCTGTATGAAATGTCTGACCCTTGAGGCATAATAATGTGCTTAAAATACACTTAACAGTGCTCTCTGGCTAAAAAAAAAAATGTTTCCAACTCATACTTTAAAAAAAATATCCATGTGGATGCTTACTTTGACTATGTGCCCAGCATCACTGGCAAAAGTGCTTCTGTTTAGAGAGGATGGTTCGGCCAAAATTCAACTTGTTTTTCAGGAATAGGAAACCAAAGGAAAAAAAAATTGTAATAAAACCCACACCAAATAAATCATCATTTTCTCTTACACTGGAAGGCAATGTCCATGTGTTTGCAAATTTTTACTGTCCAGGATAGTACCTGGGAGCACTTGGACCAGGAGGAGTTGCCAGTAACCCTTGTCACTGATGTTGTGGGGGCAGGAAGACCACGTTGGTGGTGACCAAGGCACAGAGGAACAGGTTTTGCTTTATCTCCAGCAATTTTCCAAACAATTGCACACCAGACTAGGCACCAACAACTTTTGACCACGATCTGTCTGCTTTTCATTCTCACTACAGTAATTACTATTAATGTAATTTCACAGAGGCAAGGGAATCACATCACATTATAAGAGAGAGAATCAGGAAAAGCAGCTTTTTTTATAATTATCTGATCCATCAAAAAGAGTTTTGAGGAAAAGCAGAGAAAACTGGTCTTTGCTTTGCTCTGTCACACTGAAATAAGAAATAGAAGGTTTACCAAGGGCTGAGTTAACAAAAAGCTGAGGAAAGAGCTACAACCTCTCCTACCTGATGTTCAACAGCTCTTACCAGAACTCCATGGCTGAGCCAGTGTTTCCACAGCCATTCTTCAAAAGCATAAAAAGGACAATCTCTCTTCCCCTGGCAATTTTTATAAAAAATAAACTTAAAACTCCCACAAGGCAAACCCCATGTTTTAATAAATAGAATTGTAACCCTCAGGACAGATTTCCTGCTGCTGGCTTTTAAAGTATAAATTTCCAGGTCCAACCTTTAGATGACTGTAGATGAATGTAACCACCTTGCTGCATGTGGCTTTGTACAGAGCTACCACAGGGCAGGTTTGTCATCCAGGCCTAACAAACGCACGCACCAAAGAGCAAATCAGCCCATGAAAAATAAAGACACAGAAAATGTGGATACTTTGTGAGGAGCCATTTGGAGAAGTGGCTCCTGTGTCACCTGTCTGGACAAACCCCCTTTGCATGTACAAATGCAGGAGTGAGTCCTCATTTGTTCACAAAGCTGGCTTTGCACTGTGTTGTCTGGCCTGCAGAGGCCAGAGGACAACCTTGAAAACTTAGGTTGGCTTCTCACAAAACAATGAAAGCATGCCTTTTTTTTTCCCCCTCCTCTATTAATTCTCATTTCTGACTATTGATTTCTCCTTGTCCTTTGTTCCTCTGACTCTTGGCCAGCTCCACTCGCAGAGTGTTCCCCCCGAGGCTCAGGCCTTTCAAGGAGGTTACAGCTCTCTCTGCAGTTACTTGATCCTTGTAATCAAGAAAAGCCCTGTGCTGTGCTCCCTGCCAATTCAATCTGAAAGGAGTCACATGGAATTCCCTCAGAGCACCCTTCAGCTCGCTCACTCTCAGGCTGGGAGGTATGTTCCCCACATACACAGTAGTAATGGTGCCAGATCCCTCTAATCTGGGACTTAAAGGATCACTTTCAACATGGTGTTGTCCCATTTGAGCTGAGCCTGTAGCAGCCTGTGGTTGTGTATTTTCAGCCATCTCCTTGTTCAGTGCTGCTGCTCTGGTGGTGTTTGCCAAGTGTGGATGTTCATCTCGGAGAGTAACATCCTTGCCCATCTGCTTCTCCCTGGATCGAAGAGTCTTTAGGATGGGGATTTTTCCCAGCATCTCATAGCTGACCTAAAAAGGAGGAAGACACATAATTATAGGATTTCTCGCCTTCCAGAAAAAGATGATGACCATCAGGACCCATCTGTGCCATAAAAAGAGAGGAACCTTATTATACAGCTACCATGCAGAGTGCCAGAGCATTCCAAATGCTCCTAATTGCTGGCCTGATTGTGGAGTTGCTCCTAAATGCACACTGCAGGACAAAAATAAACATTAGTTTCTCTTTAAGTAAGCAGCACAATGTACATCCAGCAGGCAAATCAGACCCAAACTGAGAACTATTCCAATTTGACATTTATTTATCAGAGCTTTCAGATTTGCATTCTCCTTGTTATCCCTCTGTATTTGCTTTGACTGAGGGCCTGTGCTCCTGCTCTGGCAGGATCCTCCAGGCTCACAGTCCATCAGACACTTCCATTCCACAGACCTCCTTGTGCTCTTTTCCCCCAAACAGGATATCCCGTGGGCTGGGTCACACAATGGTGGAAGCCTGCAGCGGGAGCGTGCCTTGGAGAGGGGCTCCCATGGATGTGGGCCCAGCTGGAGGCACGTTCTCTGGATGTGGCAAATCCCCACAGCCTCCCCCTTGTCATCCAACCCCACACACCCCCCGCAGCTCCTCAGCAGATCCCACATCACCCCGCTGGGCTGGAGCATGGAATGGAAGCGCCTGGACACTGCACTTCCAACTGTGAACCCTCCAGCCCCTCCAGCCAGCCAGCCCCAGCTCACAGGCAGCTTTTCTGGAAGGGTTCTTCCCCTCAACAGCTGAACCCCATCCATCTGAGGCATGAGATGCCCCAGGCTGTTCTCAGAGACTGGCAGGAAATGCAGTGGTTCCCCAGCTAATGTGGTCGAGCTCTTGGCTTGCAGAGTGCAGTTGGAAGGAGGAATAATTCCTACTTGGCAGCTGGACAAGTAGAACATCCATCAACACAAGATCCAATTCTGAAATTCAGGGAGCAAAACAGAGCCTGGGGAGGTGATGCCTGAGCTAGCAGAGACCCAAGCTAGTAGCCTGCAATGTGTGAGCAAGCAGGATACTGCACTCAAGCTGATGAGCCACCTCTCAGCAGGCTGGACTGGACCAGCACCAGCATATCCTGGCTAGTGCGGATCTCCCCAGCTCAGACCACACTCATCCCAGAGCCCCTGAATTCCTGGTTCTACAGTTACAGTCACAGTAAGTTTGGATCTGCACAACATCAAGTCTAAAATGCACAGCTCTCTGGGGAGAGCAGTCCAGTACTGAAATGACTCGAGGAAAACCCAAGACAGGGTGGGGGCAACATCAGGATTAGGTAACAGGAAACTCACTCAACAGAAGTATCCTTAATGTTCCCAGAGCTCCTCTTCTGAGGAGCAAACAAGCAGGTTTCATTTCAGGCTGAAACTAAATAAAAGTATAACTTACAAAAAGCCTGTCCTAGTTCTGTTGATATAATATCAAACAGCAGATTAGGACTAACCAGTGTGGGCAGAGTCACCTCCCTTCTGTCACACTGCAGACCTGGGGTCAAGTTTTGTGACTGAAACAACAAATCTGGCCTGACCTGGCAAGCAGTGGAGGCAAGGGCTTCCTCTGAGGCTCAGGGAGCCTCCACACTCTGAAAGGTACCTGCCTTTCTCAGAGTTTGCAGAGTTATTGCTCTGTGGGTTCTTGGACTGACATGTTTTTCTCTGACTGCTGTGTTTGAAAGCAAACTCCCCTTCCCCGGTGACACAACATCAAACCAAGGGCTGAAGCCATCTTACTTTGCTTTTACTGGCCACCAATTAGGAACACTTGTTGTCCTCTGTCAAATCTCTATGTGAAATGTAAGCTCTATGCTAATTAAACCAAACAGGAAAAACATTTTTCTATTCTCATGCAACTCCTGGGCCCAAAGCATGACCTCTCACAGAGTGTACCGAGTTCCTTTCATCCTGAAATTAAACTCAGTTGCCAAGGCAGGGACTGAGTGTTTGGTTAGAAAGGTCAATGGGCAAACCCTCAGCACTTTGTAGATTAAGGCAATCAGAGATGGGCACTGAGGGGATGATGTCTGGAATTCCCAGTCTTTCAAGGAGTGGATTTAGATAATCCAGGGGCCAGCACACTCTCTAAGAGACTTCAACATGGCATCTCCTCTCACTAAAGGGACAAGAAGTTTTTGGTATCAGACTGGAGCTCTTAGAGCTACTGTTCAGGCTCCTGGCAAACTCAGGAAGATGCAGTTACAACAGCAGAAATGTTTTAGGAGGAATTTCTTCACAAAAAGGGTGATTAGACACTGGAAGTGGCTGCCCAGGGAGGTGGTGTAGCCCCTATCCCTGGAGGTGTCCAAGGAATGACTGGATGTGGCACTCAGTGCTCTGGGCTGAGTGACAAGGTGGGGATCAGGCACAGGTTGGGCTCAGTGATCTCAGAGGTCTTTTCCAACCTCAGTGATTCTGTGATTTTTGTAAGGGCTGTGAACTGTTCTCTTTAAAAGCTGAAGTTCTGATCAAACACCACCATGAAGTGATTTCTTTCATTCCCTTCAATTCAGCCCTGTGCAAACATAACACTAAGTAGCCTTTACAGTGCCAAAGCAACAAAGGCACTTGATTTGGCACTTGGATTTTTTTGTATTAGGAAACATTCAGTAAAAAAAACTACATTAGACAAGTTTTGATATTGTCAATTGACATCTTCCTGCCACAAGAGACACAGAGGATTTACCTTAAGGGCTGTTGTCCCTGGGGTCTAGGAGAATATTTCAGCTGGGTCAAACCTTCTAAATCCTTCCCTATTTTCCCCTACTCTTATGCCAGTTTGGGAATTCAGTTTCAATTCAGCGAAGAAATTCACTGCTTTTTTTGGGGTGAGGGGGGTGAGAACCAAAAGGGCAAAGGGGGCAGTGGGTGGCAGAGGAGAGGAAAAAGCTTGCTCTGCTCTGTTGCAAAAGAGCAAACAAAAGAACTCTGTGGTAGTACAATGTGTTGCTAATTATGATCATGCAAAAAGTTCCTTTTGTCCTGTGAGCTGTGGAGGATTGCAATGATTTATTTCCATGTGGAGAGAGGCCAAAGATATTCCTCCTCTCTTTCAAATAAGCTGCACGTTTCTTGGTCCTGTGCCTGCTGGTCAGTCCTCCCTATCCTTGTCTATCCCTATCCTTGCTTACTGCTTTAGGCTAAGCCAGGATGGAAGGGATAAGGGTTCCACCTCAAGTCTGGCTGATCCAGCTATACGGACCTGGGCAATCCCTGCAGTTAAAACTTCTTCCCTTGCTCCTCCCATCCCTATAAAGTCAAGGCCAAACCATTTATTGATGTTTGTAAACTTTGTATTGAGTGTTGGGATTTAGCTCAATGATTGGCTTTGGCAGCAAAACCAGCTGAAGAAGTTTCCTATTATCCCTTGACCACCAATTCCCAGGCCAGTTCCACACTTCAGCCCTCTGGGGTTGGCCAACAGAAGTGCCTGTGGGCTGTAAACTCACTAACTGAAGGGATTCAGGTTAAAAATAACTCCACCAAAGGCAATTAATCATTTAACACCACTGCCTATTCCCTGCCATAGCTGGGAGAGCCTCGGGGAAAGAGGACAGCAGGGTAGATGAATTCTTCTGGCACACGATTACTGGGCTATGGGAAAGGAGCTGAGGAGGAAAATGTGGCCCCTTTGTGACAGAATCCTGAGGAAAAGAGTCTTGGATGCCGAGTGCCAACACAAATCTCCCAGCACTTAACCCAGAACCTCCACTCTTATGACACCTGGTCTGATCCCAAAACAACAGAGTGGCAGCTGAACTGCTGCAACATCCCTCCTGGAGCATCAGGGCTCCCTTCACCCTCTGCTCTCCCAGAACAGTGAATGGAGCCACTTTCAATATTTTGCTGGGGAAAATGAAGGATGTGTTTGTCCTCTGTCAGAGTGAGTAATGCTGACCCCTGATACAGCACAGGCCAAGCCAAACACCACTTTAATTTCCCTGGCAGGAGCAGAGGTGCAGTCCTGGTGCACTGCAGATGAGGGAAGGACAGCTCTGGACCGGAGACTGTGCTGGGCCTGGTATTTAATTCTGCTCCCCACAGCTCCCCACCTGCACATACCACTGATACAGGAACATGTGGCTCTCTTGAGACCCACCCTGGAATCCTGTGCACAGTTCTGGGATCCCCAACATAAGAAGGACATAGAACTGTTGGAGCAAGTCCAGAGGAGGCCACAAAGTTGACAAGGGGACTGCAGTGCCTCCTGCATGAACACAGGCTGAGAAAGTTGGGATTGTTCAGCCTGGAGAAGAGAAGGTTGTGTGGAGACCTCATAGTCCTCTCCAGTATCTGAAGGGGCTACAGGGAAGCTGGAGAGGGACTCTTCATCAGGAACTGTGGTGACAGGACAAGGAGCTTCACACTGAAAGAAGGGAAATTTAGTTTAGATATACTAAAGAAATTGTTCCTTGTGGGGGTGGTGAGGCCCTGGCACAGGTTGCCCAGAAAAGCTGTGGCTGCCCCATCCCTGGAAGTGTCCAAGGCCAGGTTGGACAGGGTTTGGAGCAATCTGGGCTAGTGGAAGGTGTCCCTGCAAATGGCAGGGGGTGGGAATGAGATGAGCTTGAAGGTCCCTTCCAACCCAAACCATTCCACTATTCTAAGATGGAGACTGATGCTGCTGCCCTGGAAGGCTGTGAACAAGACTAAAAAATCTCTACAGCAGATCCACCTGCCCTTCCAGGCTGGTAAGCAGAAGGTGTTTGAAAGATTCATTTTTGCCCACCCTCAGGGGTCTCTGACCCAAGAATGTTCATAAAGACCTCAAGAACAGACCCCACTTCTCACGCTGTGTCCTTAACCAGCTGCTTGTTTCAAGGAGCACTGAGCTCACAGGGATTTAAAGCACAGACAATGCCAGGACAGCCAGGACAGGCCAGCACAGTTGAACATTTTATCATTCATTTGCACGAAATGTCCAAATATGTGCACACAATCCCAGGGCATATTTCTGGGAGCTGGCAGCCCGTGAAGTCTGCTAATGTCCCTCAGGAGAGACTTATGCAACCCACATTTGGAATCCATCAGAGAAAACTGGATTCCGTGGACTCCACAGCAAGGGTCAGATCTGCAAAGGTGTTGAGATGTTTAACCACGTGTGGAAGTGTGCCCTGCTCACACTATCCCTCCAAAACACACAGCAAAACAAAACCCTGGATAAACTAACAGCAATTTTCCTCTGAAGGCAACACTATGTCCCTGCTAAAGGTTTGCCAGCTTGGATGTGTGAACTTTTTGAGCGTTACTTTCCAAATGTTCTATCACAGACCCAACTCAGAAGCTGTTTGTTGTCAGATAGTTTCCATCTCTGCCACAGCACTGGACCCAGGGATTCCCCCCAGTTCATTTCACTTCAGGAAAAAATCTTTTCCTACTACTATAAAATTCTCAGCAAAAGAATGATTTAAAAACCAGAAGGAAATGCTTGCTAGAATATAGTGATTTTTCCACCAACTACTCTCATTTCCCTCTTCACGACCCCAAATATTTTAATTGGTCTGTATAGTTGCAATTTAAAATAAGCACAGCACAAATAACTTGGTAATTGTGACAAAATATAATACACAGTGTCCCAGATAAAGATCACAGCTACCCATAGAAAATATTAAATGAGAAAGTAAGTCATTTCATGAATTTAGAGTTCCCAGAAACAATGGGTTAGATTTTCAAGACAGATGAAGCCAAATAATTCTCCACTGGATCCAAATAAAGTTTTCCAGCGTGCTCAGCTCTCAGCAGCTCTTGCTGCCCTCCAATAACTCATATTGATTTCTCAAAACTCAGAGGCAGAAAACTTACCCATAGAAACCTCCCAGTACTTGGATTTACAAGTGTTTCCAGAGTGTTTAGCACTGATATTGATAATGATTACTTGCTATTAATGATATTGTGGGTCTTGTACTTTATAGGAAGTCTTTAAATAGCACATAAAAAACGTGAACGCTCCAGCACTTCCTTAAGCACAGAAATCCAGCCTGGAGACATGGCTTTGTTTGCTGGGTAGGCACCTCCTCACCCCTCTGGAGCTGAAAACACAGTGTATGTGTTCCTGGCTGTTTATCCTGCTGGCTTCAGGGCAGCACATCCTTCACAACAACACTTAGCTCTAATCCCATGTTTGCAAACACCTGTAATTTAAGCTCTTAATCATTGTCTTGGCCTGATCCAGCCATGTTCCCCAAGGATAAACCTTTTTACAGTGTATTTTACACGTCACACATCTCAACAATAAAGTTAAGCTACTTTCTGTTGACAAAGCACCCTATTTAGAAGTGGGTTCTTTATTTACTCACTACCTCTTGGTTCATTTAGTTTTGCTCTGAGGAACAGGAATGCACCAGCAAAGCTGGGATTTGAAGGAGAAAAGGGTGGGGAGAAAAGGACATAGAAGTAGCCAGGACAAGCCAAAGGACAAACATTTAAATAACCCATATCAAATCCTGCCTTTTTAACACCCTGCTGATTAACCAGACCTCCCACCTCCATAACACTCCCTGCAAGAGATGAACACAGAGTTACCACCACAAGCACAAACAAAATAAATGTCATTTATCTCCCTGTGAAAGAATAATGGCCATTTCTTTCATCTTCATATAGACACTACACCTTTTTCTTCTCCCAAAACTGCCTGGTATTCTCCAATATTTCTATCTAAGCAACAGAACACTCCAAAGAACAGCCAAAACCAGCTTTAGGTGTTAAATCAACATTCAAGTATTCACATAAAGCATCAATAGTGCTCCATTCTCAGTGAACCTGGAGAAAATTCAGTTCCAGCTAAGGGGAATCAGACAGAAAAAAAAAGGAAAAAGTGTCAGCAAGGCCACTTACTGAGAAGTCTGACACTAAGACAGACAAACTGTGATCAGAAGTATGTTGGCAAGATGGATGGAGCACAAGGGGTAGGCCTTCAACACAATTACATTCAATAATATCCTAAAAAAAATTACAATTCAAAAATAATTCAATGGAAAAAATGCACTAGTACAGACAGAGCTGTTATTTATTTATTTATAACCTCAAATCCGTAACCACAGGCAGGGTAAAATGCTCTCCCACCATGGGAATAAAAATAGTGCTGGCTAGAATTGTTTGTTGTAGATACATTACCTAAAGAAATTTAACTCTTTTTTCTGGTTGGTAACTGTTTAACAAACAACTCTTGATTTCCCTACAAGTATTCCCTTAGTAATTCCTCGGCAGTTTCTGCAAGACACAGGCACAATATTTCTCATTTCAGTATTCCTACTGTTACTCAATCACGCAGGATTGTGTCTGCTCCCTAACTGGATGTTTTCAGAAATGAAAATCCAATAACAAAGGAAAAGTTTTCCCAGCATGAACTTCCAGTAAAACAATTCACTAAATGCTTTTCTGAAACTATTTGTGAAGCTGAGGAAGTTTCTGACAATCTGGGCGGGACGGAGAAAGGGCAAACCCATAATACAATTAATGATCAATAAATAAAGATTCCTGGTTTAAAACAGTATAAAGTCACTGTTCCTCTACCTGAAAATGAGCTCCAGAAACAAATTTATCCTTGGAAAGTTAATCCACTACATAAACAGGAATGTACCACCACCAGGTCATGTTTTGCTTTCATAACCAGAGCAGCATATACTCTACCCACTAGTTCCAACCCCCCTGCCACGGGCAGGGACACCTTTCACTAGACCAGGTGGCTCAGAGTGCCATCCAAACTGGCCTTGAACACTTCCAGGGATGGAACAACACTCTTTTGGGGAATCCATGTGGTACAGCAACCTCAGCTGCAGTGATACATTCTCCTCCTCACCATTCCTACTTAAAACCCACTGAAAATGGATGCTGCTGTTTTGTTTCACCTGAAAAACATATCTGTTCCTTTTCCAAGTATTTCTAACACAACAAATGTGTTTATATTCAAAAATGTGGGATTTACCACCAGGATGTTGGTACCACTGTTAGCAGAGGGAACTTGCCTTATGCCATATTATTCCTTGAGGTTTGGGTCTCTTGCAATTAGTCTTGATAATTCTTGTTGGGGTGAGGATATAATCCACAGTTAAATCATGATCATCAAGAAGCTCTTCTTCTATGTCAACCACCTACAAGGAACAAGAGATTTGCTAAGTGGTTAAAAACAAATTCATTAAAATTGTGCACCATTCCTGATGTCTTGCAACATATGAAAATACATCAGACAGTGGAAATAAAGATGCCAAACCAACCAACATTATTCCACGTCTCTTCTTCAGCCAGACCAGTCATTATTACACAATTCTGATTCATTATTGAGAGGGGATATTTTAACTTACCTGACAATCATGCACAATGGTTACTACAGGTGTATCCTCCTGCACTGCACCCATTGACACCATCATTGCATATTCCATGTCTGCATAACCTTCCCCTTTTCCAATTCTCCAGCCTAAAATACATAGAACTAAACAGTAAAAAAAAAACCCCAAAACCAGCAGAATGGAAAGTTGGTTAACTGTTAAAATCATGTAATTAAATTAAGCAGTCTGCAACAGATAAACCAAGTACAGAGTTGTAACTCAGGAAAAGTTCAGGTCAGCATCTCTCACAGAATGCAACTTTCCTTGAAATCAGCACTGAAATGAAATAAAACATCAGTTTCAATGAACCCCTAAAGGATTCCAGGAGCCCCCCATTCAGAATAAATCAAACCTAGTCCACTTAACACAGAAGGTTATTTACCCATTGTACTCAGAACCTTCTATTCATGTCCAACATAGGTTAAGGTGGGTAAAGAGGAGTCTGGGTCACACACAAAAAAACATGTTGTTTTAGGCAATGGATAAAGTCAGTGGAAAAATTTTCACCAGCAGCAGGTCTTCAAAACAGTAGAAAATGCAAAATCTGATCCCCAAAGAAGTACTGACTCAGCAGGTCTAACGTGTGTGCTGTCACACACCCTGTGTGAGTGAAGCAGATCCTCTGAACAGGGAGCCTGCTTTGATTCGTTCAAAACAAAAATAATTGCTTGCCTTAATAGTTCTCTTGAAAGCCAAAGCACAGGCCCACATGCCCTAAACCACACTGCTGCCTGCCCACTAAGTGCTGGAGGCACTGCTCCTTCCTGGTTGGATTGGGATCAGGGATTTGTCACACAGAACAGACAGAACTCAAGACCACAACTCAGTTCCAGGGATATGTTCATCTCTGCCAAAAGGAACATGTGGTGTATCCTACTGACACTGGGAATTGTGACTTAGGACCCTCCTCCTGAAAAGCTGACAAGGCTTTTCCTTACCTTTTTCGGAGACAGCCACTGATCCCACAACAACCAAGTCCACTCGTGCTCTCCCATCCAGCCCCACGGGCACACTGTAATCTTTTACACCCTGCAAGGAAAATATTTTAGGTTCACTCAGTGCAGAGTCTTCCAGCCACTGAGGCAGAAATCCAGGATATTTTGATAAATCCAACTAACTCCCTCTTTCAAAGTGTCTCTTCCATGTATAGCCAAGCTGTACATGTCTGGAATGTTATCCTCTAGGGAATCCTAGAATAGATTCCCTACTACAGTAACAAGAATTTTGGCACACTACAAGGAGAGCTGAGGGAGGTGGGTACTTTTAAGCAAGGTTACTTATTTCGGATCAAAACCTCATATTTTGAAACCCTTTATTGGAAATCTAATCCTAAAAATGAGGGCAACAGACACTTCCTACCTTAGCATTACTAACTTAGAATCATAATTATGTAAACTCATACCAGAGTACTACAAATTCCTGAATTAAGTCTCACATACAAATCACAGAGTTAATTTAGACACAGGCAGCTACAGCATAAAGAAGTCTTAAGTCACACAAACTGATACAATGATTTTTTTTTTCTTTCCCTCTCTCCCCACTCATCTCAACCCACCTCTCTTCAATCTCCTCTCTAAAAAACACATCCTAACAAAATTGGGTCCAGAGCTGCAGAAATTAAGAATTATCTTTACTTGGGCTTTCAAATATCACAGGTTTAGAACTTTTAAAGTGATTCATTCACTCAGTATATATGTACAGCTTAAATCCTCCTCACATCAATGTAAGTTCGTGCTAAGTCAATCCCCACAGTAAAAAGACAAACATCTTCTGTGCAGAGCACAAAACCAAAAAGTTCAGTAATTTGTGGCTGACCATCAGTATTAATGTTCATTATCCACTTCACAGCAGTGTGGTAAGGACTGTTTGCACAGTGCTTTGTAAATATAAACTGCCAACAGCATTTATTCATTAGTGGGCCTGGGTGGGGGAAAAACCAGACACATGGTGGTAAGATCACAGATCACAGAAACAGGCAAGAGAAAGGTCTCTTTCAAAAGTGCTCTTCAACCCTGAAAAGCTTAATTAGTTAATGACCTCAATAGAACTTGCAACAAAGAAAGTCACTACTAATTACCACCCATTTACAACCTCAGTCGTATACGGGATTACTGTAAAATTTTAGTGCCTTGAGCAGGAGATAAAGAAGGAAATAAATCTATAAACTGGCCTGTTCTTTTTGTACAGGTTAGGTTTTCATAGCAGCTGAAGAGGGATATAAAATAACAGAGGTTTCTCTGCCAAAAGCCTTCAGCTGTACAGTTTGAGATTGTAACACGAGAGGGCAGCAACAGACCACACTGCAGGACCAAAACCTTACCGTGTTTTTGTGCCTCCACTGAGGCAGATGCCAGAATTAATGTTTCTTTAGACCTAGTATTCTAAAAGAACTTATCTTTCCTACTTAGTAACACCTAATATTCTATCAAGATTATGCAAAAACTGTAAACACTAAACAGGTTTCAGTAGCTCAATATTATAGAATACAGGGGCATGATTTATTAGAAATAAATTATTTCTTAGGAGCATGATTTGTTAGAAAGATCTATCTCAGCTATAAAAGTTGCTCATAATGTTCCAAAAAGTACTGAGAAAATATCAATACCACTCTGCTAACAAAACATTATTAATGGCAGTTGTGTACACAGACCCAGAAGTAACATCGTGGCAGAATTATATTTGAAGTAGCATCTGTTTTTTCAAATTCCAAGTGGTCTGTCATAGCACCACAGTCATCCATGAGTTAATTCAGGCCTCCCTCATCTTTCATTCCTACCTGAGACGTGGCACATATTCTCAGGACTTCCTTAGTTGCACCTGGAGGTGGAACAATCCTATTGAACAGCCCAGTCCTCAGGCGTGGTGTGGGAACCAACAAAGTCTTCCTTGCCTGTGGAACAGAAGAAGTTGCCACATTAAAAGGCTTGTTTTACGCTAAAGAAATAATTTTACTGTCACACAGTAAAAATTATGTGGCCAATCATCTAATTTGCTAGAGAGTAATTAGTGTTGTTTATTGTGTAGTGCTTGCAGATTCATCCCCTCCATTACAGGAAAATTCCAGACAAGGGCTTATTTAAGAAATAAAAAGTAAGACATACCTTTAACCTTTAAAGATATTTAAGGACACCTCTTTAAAGATATTCCCCCTTTAAAGGTGTATCTTTACATAATTTTTAAGGTGTATCTTATAATGTCTTTATGATGAGGAATGGCTTCACACTGCCAGAGGGCAGAGTTAGATGGGATACTGGGAACAAATTCTTCCCTGTGAGGGTGGGGAGGCCCTGGCACAGGTTGCCCAGAGAAGCTGTGGCTGCCCCATCCCTGGAAGTGTCCAAGGCCAGGTTGGACAGGGCTTGGAGCAACCTGGGCGAGTGGGAGGTGTCCCTGCCCATGGCAGAGGGTGGCACTGGATGAGCTTGAAGGTCTCTTTCAACCCAAATCATCCTGTAATTATGTGAATACTTATTGATCCAAAGTGCATGTCCACAAATAAGCGACACAGATCAGCTCCTAAACATGCACAGGTCTGAGATAAGTTTGTCACACATTCACCTTGTGATAATTTGAGGCAAGGCTTCCTCAAATTGTGTTTTGGGGAGTAAGAACACAGCGATGGTGAAACAGCTACTGCTCTGCAGAAACACATCAATTTCCCCAAACCTTACCTGCACCTTGGCCATTTGCCAGGAGGGCAGAGATATTCTTTCTTACATGAACAACCTGCCTGAGAAACGGCAGGTATTGATGGTAGGATGCTGCCAAGCTCTGCACTCCCCTCCTCAGGGGTGCAGAGGTGCCATTACCTGCAGAGCTGCCAGCCGAACCCCTTCCAAAGGTTTGTCGGGATCCACCTTAACCTCCCGTGCTCTGCTGAACACATCCAGCTCTTGGATAGAGGAGCAGGCCTGGAGAGAGCCCTGGGGCAGGAAAGGAAGGAAGAAGAGAACAACTTCACTTACTTCCAGTGTGAGGAAGCGAGCATTCCTCTGGGGGGCATCGGGGTTTATCTTTACAGTCCTGGCAGCTCTGAACTCCTGCAAAGCCAGAAGCCTCGTGGCAGCGTGGGAGGCACCCTGTTTGCAGAGGATATCAGTGCATCACCAAGGAGCTCACAGCACAGATGCCAATCTGCAACCTGTCATCCTCTGGAGGGGCTGATTTCCCCAGATTTTAAATATGGGGGACATACTGTTCATTTTGTGATGGTTCTATGGGAAACTCTCATACAAGCTGAGTGCCTGGCTATCTCACAGAAAAAGAGGGGATCCAAGTACAGCCTCTTTGCCTAAATTCCCCCTCATTCACACCTAAAGAAAGACAGACATCAACATCACAATTATTCTTTCATCAAAGAAAGACAGAGATCAATTTTCCTTTTCAGTGACCGAATATAAACAGATTCCTTTAAACCCAAGCCATAAAAACTTTTTTAAAATGAAGAATTCCTGGACAAGGCTCTCCCTTGACAGCGATTACACTGAAAACTCAGAAGATTCGCTACTTAACTGAGGAGCTCCAGTTTAGCAGAGCACACGCTCCTCCTGTAATTTAAGCTGATATCCCCTGATTTAGGGCGCGATGAAGCCTCAACCTTCCTCCACCCACTTCAGCACCCATTTTATCTTAAACAGAAAAACCATATCCCGCAAAACTGAGACAGAACGTATCCCGCAGAACTGAGGCTGCCTCTGTATCCCTGGGAGTGTCCCAGGCCGGGCTGGACGGGGGTCGGAGCACCAGGAGACGAGGGGGGTGGGCGGTACCTTGAAGTTGGGGATGCGGCGGTGGACGGGCCGCGGGAACTCGGCCAGGCCGGTGCTCTCCAGGTGATCCCAAACCTTCTCCCGCATGTCCCACTTGGAGGAGGCACCTGAGGGGGGAGGGAGGCGGAGGTGAAGGGGGGGGGCCCTTCCCTCACCCCTTAGTAGTGACGTCACCCTCACCCCTTAGTAGTGACGTCACCCCCACCCAGCAGTGACATCACCGCCCTCCAGCGGTGACGTCAAGTCCACCCGGCCCCGCCCACCCCCGCGCCCCCGCTCACCCGCGCGCCCCTCCATGGCGGGCGCCGAGGGGGCGGAGTCTCCTCCCTGGCCACGCCCCCTTCCTCCTACGGCGGCACGGAGGGGCCAAAACGCCTCGGCGGCGAAATAGGGAGGGTTGAGGGTATCTGAGAGCCCGATTTCCTTCTCGAATTAAACATTAAAAAGGCTGTGCTGCAGCATTAACGGGCCGCACAACTTGTACGAATCCCACGGGCTTTCCCCACGCCACTTTTTGTAAAATACCTCCCCCAAAATTAACTATTTTTCCATTTAAAATCGGCTGCTGGTGGATAAAACAATATCCAGCCCCTACGTGGGTTTCCCAGCCTGCCAGCTCTCAGACAGTGCACTTCTTGTTTGCGTTTAATAGGATAATAAATGATTCGTTTGCACAATTTATTATTTGTAGAATTAGTGTATCCCACAATTACCCCCAAGAAGAGGGAGGACTTGGAGAATCCCAACATTCCTGAGCAGAGCGGGATGGAGGGGTCATGGGAACAATGGAACGGAGGTTTATTTTAAAGTGTATCGGGGAATGATGGAGATAAATGGCTTTAGAATTTGTTTTCTGATCTGCTTGGCTCGGGTGCTGCTGCTCCACGTCCCCCTCAGAGCCGACGGCTGCTCTACCAACCCAAAAACCAGAACAAACTGTGATGCTCCTCTCTGAGCAGCTGCAGATGGAAACCCCTTTTCTCTCAAAGACTGTTGAATGATTCTACAAAGTGGTCCAGGAGCTTTTCCCCTCCAACCATGTTTTCCGAAGTGGGATTAATATAATTTTGGTGAGCCTGAGGCTTTGCCTTTTCACTGGGGTCCCTCGTAAGTGCTCAGAGTGCTCAGAGTGTTGGATCTGCATCGGGGTGCGTTTGGGAAGAGCCTTTCCACTACCTCGGAACGCGGCTGGAGCCGGTGGGAATCTATCCAGGCATAACAGACCACCCATGTGGAGCTGGGCCTGAATGTTTGAAGCTCATTCCTCCACTTCCTACTCACGGAAAACTCCCCGTGACTCTGATATCTCTGCGGGGAGTTCGGGATCAGGCCCTTGGTGAGCAATTTACAGCCTCCCTGTAACTCAGGAGTGATTTGTGCTCCTGGGCTGGAAGTGCCAGTGCTGTCTGTCTGTCCACTGCCACAAAATCACCAGGCTGCAGCCCCTGGGACTTGTGTCCACTCCACACTCTTCCTCCTCTCCTTTGAGGAGGGAAAGTGAGGGTGGTAGCAACAGTGCTATTAATTAATACATTATCAATCAAGAGGGGCTGAGATTCTTCCAGACCACCTACAGCTCCCTCCAACCATGCTCAGTAAAGCTGTTCCTTACGTGGATTTGCTTCCAAATACAAGGGCCTGAGTTGGCTTTCTAGAAATCAAGTACTCTACCTCAAGCAAATGAGGAGTTTGCTGATAGGGGGCATCTTTCCTGATGGTTTAATTCTCTCTTTGGCTTCCACAGGTCTGAAATTTGCTCCAAATCAATTTTGCGGGGTCTCTTCTGTCACACACACTGCAGCCGTTAGCTGTAGCTCCAGAAACCTCATGCAGCTCCTACAGATGCCACTGGAAAACTTCTCTTTCCATTGGGAAGAAGATAGGGCTACCAGCATCCTTATGAATTAAATTAGTCTGTTGGACATGCCTGAATCACTTCTAATATCCATTTTACCAACAGTGAAAGAGGTTGAAGAGGAATCCTGGATTTTGGCACAAAAGACAAAATGCGGCTCTTGTTTGAAACACCCGCAAGTTGGGAAAACACCTAGAAAAAGGGAGGGACAGATAATCCAAACCCAGTGAATAATGCAGAAAGAACCTCCCTTTGCTGCAGGAATCATTTCTCTGAAGTGCAGGCTGAACACACAAGGGCAGCCACAGAAAGCAGCCAAAATGCACCCAAAGAATCAAACCAGTGCTAACACTCTACTGGGGTTTCAGGATTGAAAGGTAAAAATAGGCTTCAAATTTGAAAGGCAAGAGCTTTCAATGAGGTTTTCATCATACAGCGCATTAGCTGGGTGCTAGAAACTGATCTTTTGGACCACTGTGAGATGGATTTCCATGCATGAATAAACAGTGTATGACTAAATTTTTGTGCTTATGAAATAACCCAGCAAAGGAGGCACATTAGGGCAGGAGGGGCTGGACTGAGTGAACACATTTGAGCCCAACAATGTCTTCTGCTGGGAAATAGGTGTGGGATTTGGGTCAGCCCTTGTAGCCATCAGTGCTGGAGACCAGTCCTGGGCTAGTCACAGATGCAAAATTGGGAGAAATCCACGTGCATCGATGGGTCTTTGCTGGACTGGTGCCACTGTTTTGCATTGGCAATAGACAGCTAGACAGCTTTATTGTCTTTCTTCCTCTTTCTTTCTTCCTTCCTTCCTTTCTTCCTTTCTTTCTTCTTTCCTTCTTTCTTTCCTTCTTTCTTTCCTTCTTTCTTTCTTTCCCTCTTTCTCTCTTTCTTTCTTTCTCTCTTTCTTTCTCTCTTTCTTTCTTTTTCTTTCCTTCCTTCCTTTCTTCTCTCTTTCCTTCTTTCCCTCTTTCCCTTCTTTATCTCTTCCTTTCTCTCTCTTTCCTCCTCTGCTTTTCCCCTTCTTCCCTACTTTCCCCCTCCCTCTCTCTCCCCCGTCTTTCTGCCACTCACCCTTTCTCTCTCTCATTCCCATCTCCATTCTCCCTCCCGCACTTCTTGCTCTTTACTCTTTGCCCACTCCCTCTCTCACCCTCTCTTTCTGTGCCCCTCTCTCACTTTCCCCTCTCCCTCCCGCTGCCCGCGCTGTCCCCGCGCTGTCCCCGCGCTGTCCCCGCGCTGTCCCCGCGCACTCGGTGGGTCCCGGTGCGGTGCCGGTGCGGTGCAACCCCCGCGGTGTCCCCTGGGGGGCAGCACACGCCGCGCGGAGCCCGGGCCGGGCAGGTGAGCGCGGAGCGGCCCCGGGAGCGGCCCCGGGAGCGGCCCCGGGAGCGCTCGGCGCGGGGAGCGCCCCGAGCCTGGAAAGCCTCGGACGCTGCTCCCAAAGCCCGATAAAGGCTGCTGAAGCAAAACCAGCGTCTCCCACCCGTGGCTGTCGGGGCGAACCGGGCAAACACCGCCCGCGGAGCCCCGCGGACGGGAACCCACCGTGCCCGGGGCAGGGGGGCAGCGCGTTTCCAAGCGCCTCCCGCTCTCTTCCTTGAAGGGGCTCCTATCCCTGCGCTCTCTAGCTTGTTTTTCATAATGCCGATTTTTTTTTTCCTTCGAGCCATTCGAATTTCGGGCTTTTCCGAGCCCGTTGGTTCGGTCTCTGCTCTGTCCCCAGCTGCAGCAAGCAAAGACCTTTTGCTGCTTCTAGGAGTTCTGTAGAAATTCATCTCGGTAAAGTTTTCAGCCGAGGAGAGGTAAGATTCAATCAAGGTTGTTTCTCGAGCGAGTTCCAGGCTTCTCGGAAGGGACAGCACAGGGACGCCGCAGGGGTAGCTTTGCTCAGACTTCGCATTTAAAATTTCCTGCATTTTAAAAAGTTATATCGTTAAAGGAATCCCATGTGCTTGTGTACGCTGAGACACAGCCTTAGTTTTTACGAGAAATACGATTTATTTGAAAACCGAACATAGAAGTGTGAAGTCGTTCTCAAATTATTCCAGAAAAGAAAAAAAAAAAGTTTTCTCTTATGGTCGTACATTTATATGAAAAGTAGCCGCAGAGCTCGCTGAATTCACTATTTGTTTTCATAAAAAAAAAATAAAAATCCCCCGGACGTTTTCTGGGTGGGTGAAATCTCCCAGAACATTTAAAATTATTTCCATCAAAATTAAATAACAATTTTGAAGAGCCCGGCGAAACTTTCCAATCAATTTTTCCATCGCAGATCATTTTTAACCATACCTCCTTGTAGAGGAGCTGCCTCGTAATTTTAATATTTTTTCTCCCTCCAGTTCTCGCATAAAATCGTTTCCTTTCTTATTAAGAAAATCGCCGGTAATTAACAGCACCACCGAGTTCCCACGGCCGGAGCCGGCTGCGGTCTCGTCCCCACCGCCCCGGCTGGGAGCGGGAAAGGGACCCTTCGTCCCAGCAGCCAGCAAAAATCCCAGCCTGACTTTGGGGGAGAAAAATATCTTTGTTTAAAGCCTTAGGAAACCACACAAATTGCAAGGAGGGAAAGGCAGAATTACAGTGTAAGAAACCAAAAAATCACCGCTTAGGAATCAGAGCGGGAACAGCCGAACTCAAGGGAGGCAGCGGGAAGGAGCCCAGCCGAAGTGACAGCTAATTAATTTCAACCTTATCTTGGTCTTTTCGGGCTCGAATCGATTTTGCAGCGCTATTTTATATATATATATATATATTTAATTTTTTTTTTCACGAAGCGGGGAAATCACTGGTTTCCCACCTTCATTCCTTCGCTGGGCAGATCCACGCTTCTCCCGGGTGGAACAGAACATCTCGCAGCCGTTTCCCCCAGTACTTGAGTCTACACTTGGTCACCAAGCGTCCCTAATTGTCCCATCTGATTGCCTCTAATGGACTCATTAGAGAAGGCAGAGGGGCGGATTTCACAGGCACAAGAAAATCCGCCTCAAAGCCCGGAACGAAAAAAAAATCCGCTTAAATTCGCTCACTATTTTTTTGTTTTGATTTTTTTTTAAATAATAATAAAATACCCCAAACTCCCCTAACGCGACAGAAGGAACCTCTCAGCCCGCGGGCGACCGGGGCCGAACCTGGGCGCGATGCCCTCGCCACCGGGCGAGCACCGCGGCGAGGGACTCGGCGGCCTTTCCCGAGGAACCGCGGGGCCGTTCACTTAAATACACTTTAAAAGTGAGACAAACGACCTGCCCGAGTGCTGGGACACCGTTATACCGGCATCGCGACTCCCGCCGCCCTCGCCATCAACCTGCGTCCGAAAAGTGCTTAAAAACGTGGTGTTTTGCGGGAGCGGGCAGAGCCCGCGGCCCGGGCTCCTCTGAGGGCGAGAGCGTTAAGCTCTCCGCGGTCGGGGGGGTGAGGATGTCCGTGCCGGTGCCGGTGCCCGTGCCCGTGTCCGTGTCCATGCCCATCCCGGGGGTCGGCGCGGCCCCGGGCGCGGCGCGGCGAGAACGCGCGCGGGGGGGGATGCTGCCGGCGCCGCCGCATCCCGCGCTCCCATTGGCTGCGGCGGCGGCGGCGCGCACCGCCATTGGCCGGCGGCGGCGGGCGGGGGCGGGGCCAGCGGGCAGTAAAAGCGCGGCGGCGGCGCGGGGAGAGTTTTGAAGCTGCGCAGCGCGGCCGGGACGGAGCTCGGCCGCTCCCGCACCCCCCGCACCCCTCCGGGGGCTCCGGAGCGCCTCGGGCCGCTGTTGTGACAAGAACTGGGCTTTCCGCAAGGCTTCTTCTTCTTCTCCTCCTTTTTTTTTTTTTTTAAATATTTTTAATTTTTTGTTTGTTTTGTTTTTCGTTTTTTTTTTAATTCCCTTTTCCTGCGAGAACAGGGCCCCCCTCCCCCGCCCAGCTCCCCGCAGCAGTGCCCGCCGCCGCCGCGGGCCGTAGCCGTGTGTACAAGAATCACAGTCATACAGAGGGAGGGAGAGGCCGCCAGAGACCACCCTGCCCCCGGCGACCCGGAGGATGCCGCTGCGGTGCCGCTGCTAGAGGACACGCTGGGATTTAGCTCGGCTCCGGGACTCTGTCTCTCTCTCCCGCTCTCTCCCTCTCTCCCTTCTCCGCAGAGGGGTCCCGGACGGGGGTGAGGCCCTTCCACCCTCTTCCTCTTCCTCCTCGCCTCCCCGGCCGCGGGAAGCCCCTCTCCATGATGCAGGCTCGCTACTCCGTCTCGGACCCCAACGCTTTGGGAGTGGTGCCGTATTTAAGCGAGCAGAACTACTACCGGGCGGCGGGGACGTACGGCGGCATGGGCAACCCCATGAGCGTCTACTCGGGCCACGCCGAGCAGTACGCGGCGGGCATGGGGCGCTCCTACGGCCCCTACCACCCCCACCAACCCACCGCCCCCAAGGACCTGGTGAAGCCACCTTACAGCTACATCGCCCTCATCACCATGGCCATCCAGAACGCCCCCGACAAGAAGATCACGCTCAATGGGATTTACCAGTTCATCATGGACCGCTTCCCTTTCTACCGAGAGAACAAGCAGGGCTGGCAGAACAGCATCCGCCACAACCTCTCCCTCAACGAGTGCTTCGTCAAGGTGCCTCGCGACGACAAGAAGCCGGGCAAGGGCAGCTACTGGACCCTGGACCCCGACTCCTACAACATGTTCGAGAACGGCAGCTTCCTGCGCCGCCGGAGACGCTTCAAGAAGAAGGATGTCTCCAAGGAGAAAGAGGAGGCCCGGGAACGGCTGCTGAAGGAGCAGCCCAAGCCCCCCGGGCTGCCTGGCGCCGACCTTCCCAAGGAAGCCTCTTCCTCCTCTTCCTCTTCCTCCGCCTCGGCGCCGGCCTCCGAGAAGAAGGTGGTGATCAAGAGCGAGACGGCGTCCCCCGAGCTGCCGGTGATCACCAAGGTGGAGACGCTGAGCCCGGCCAGCGGCGGGGCCCTGCGGGACAGCCCCCGCAGCGCCGCCTCGCCCCCCGCCGCCGCCTCCCCCGAGGCCTCGCTGCCCGAGCATCACCCCGCGGGCAACGGGCTGCCGGGCTTCAGCGTGGAGAGCATCATGACCCTGCGGACTTCCCCCGCGGGGGACCTCAGCCCGGTGAGTGCCGCCTCTGGCAGGACGGGCGCCGGGATGCCGCTGGGCTACCCCGCGGGGCAGCCGTCGGGCTACAGCGCGGCGTGTAGCCAGGCCCTGGACACTAGTGGGAGCTACCACTGCAGCATGCGGGCCATGAGCCTCTACAGCGGCGAGAGACCGGGCCACATGTGCGCGCCGCTGGAGGAGGGTCTGGCCGAGCATCCCACCGGCGCCCCGTCGCCCCTCGGCACCCTGAGCCTGCCGTCGGGGCAGGACGGCGCGCTGGGCACCGGGCACCCGCACGGCGGCGGCGGCGGAGGGGCGGCGGGGGGACAGCCCCCCGCCTCCTGGTACCTCAACCACGGGGCTGAGCTGAGCCACCTGCCCGGGCACACTTTTGGCTCTCAGCAACAGACTTTTCCCAACGTGCGGGAAATGTTCACGTCGCACCGGCTGGGGATGGAGAGCGCCTCGCTCAGCGACCACCAGGTGAGCAGCAACTCCGCCTGTCAGATCCCCTACAGATCCGCGCCCTCCCTATACCGCCACGCCGCCCCCTACTCCTACGACTGCACTAAGTACTGAGTAGCCGCGACCCCCCGCCTAGGGCCATCTGGAAAAAAAAAAGTTTTAAAAAAATTATTATTAATAATAATTATTAAAAAAAAAAGATCGGGAGAAATAAAACCACACCAAACGCAGGAAAAAAAAAACCAAACCGAAACAAAACCAGAAAGAACCTGACAGTTTCCCCGCCAACCTGGGAGTCACAGAGTTTGTAGATCCCAAAAAGCCCCGTTTCGGGCCTCCTTAGATTCCAGGCAAGTAAATCGTACTTGAAAAAACGGGGATCTCTCCTAAAAAAAAAAAAAAAAAAAAAAAAAAAGTGGCAAAAAAAAGAATCATTTTATATATATATATGTCTATCTAAAAGTGGCAAATTTTATATGCTAAAGTATAGGGGGTCTCAGAAAAATAAGTTATGGACCAATATCACAACGACCATTTATACGTTTTAAAAGGAAAAAAAGTATATAAATATATATATAAATATATGTCCTGGGTATTTTTTAAGTTCTCTGTTGTGCTGTAAAAAATGTGTGGATTTCTAATCAGGCTGATTTTCAGAGCCATTAATATAATATTTAAAGTTGAGTTCACTGGATTATTTTTGTCTCGCCCAACGATTCTTAACTTCCAAATTAATGACAAGTGATTTCTTCTTTTTCTGTGTACAATTATGCAATAGAGTTTCTTTCGTTTTAGAGCTGTTCTTCTCGCAAGATGAGGAAATAATTTATTTTTTGCTGGTGGATTTTTTTTTAAAGGAAAAATAGACAAAGTATCTGATACTTTTTTATTATTATTTACGATGTGTGATGTTTTGTATAATAGATTTCATCTTGACCATTCTTAGGGACTATTTGCTTTAACCTGCTTCAAAATTCGTTTGTCTTATGTGGTCCTAATTGTTGTACTTACCTTAAAATAAATCCATGCTGGTTTTTTCTGCTCCAAGTCTGGCGCTTCTCTGTGTATATACTGGGTTTTTGCAGCTTTTTTTTTTTTTTTCTCCCTTCACCTTTCCTTCAAGCAGAAAACGTGGCACTGGTTTTTAAAACAAAGTCCTTTTCCTGGAGCCTAAAGGTTTCTGATGATTATGTCTTAGATGAAAGGTTTAAATCACGTGGAGAGATGGAAACTGTACAACTGTGGTGGAGGGGAAAGAAAAAGGCACTGCGCTGGCAGCCGGGTCTGAGCACCCTCAATCCGGAATCCCTGTCAGCTCGAAATTTAGGGAGTTTTCCCAGGCCTGCGATGGGTAGAACGGGGAAAACAGGAGTAGGGAAGGGGTTTTCTGCTCCCCTCGCCCCATCTCTGCGAGCGCGGGCCTTGCGCAGTGCTCGGCGTGTCTCCGAGCCTGGGGCCTGATCTTCCCACGGCAGAAAACAAAACAAAAAAATCCATTTTATTTATGTATTTATTTTTCTTTAAAGGAAGCCTGTGCTGCTGGGAGTGGGTGCGGGTGATGAGAGTGATCATTTAAACCCGGACTCATTGTGGAGACTTCAAAAAAGCAAAGTGGAAAGTTCACTTGACAATCATTTAAAACCAATTAGTTTTTAAATTTAAAAACAGTACAGTTTTTAAATGCTCTCCTGTACTAAGAATTAGCTGATTTTAACCTTCTCTTTATCTCTTTAAGCTCTAGTTCGCAATGCTGGGCACTGCCAGATGTTGTGCCTTTGCCCCAAACCATCCTTTAACCTGTTCCAGCAGCTTTAACCCAGGGCAGAAGCGTGGGGTTTAGCAAGGCTGAAAGCACGGGAATGCCGGCAAAGCCTGAAGCAGAGTTTAGGAGGGTCTTTGGGACTTTTCAAGCCCAGCTCACTGGAGCCACGTCCTTTTCTGGCTGCTAAATCTCAGCCAAACAGTATTTCCAGGGGATATTTCCCAGCCGTGCTCCTGTCCCACCTTCTGTAGCCCCCCCGGTATCCCTCGTAGCCCTTTTTCTGAGTTCGGGAGTGATTATACCCGTGTCAGGCTGCTAAAATCGATGAAATAAATTGGTTTTGACCGATTAAATTTCACATGCGCTTAAAAGCTGGCAAACAGCACTGAAACTCGATTTAAATGAGAAAAAAATGTCTGAACCTCGCTTGATCTGTATTTTAAGGAACATTCTTGTAAAAAAACTCCTGCCGTTTTTCCTGGCTCTCAGAGGGTGTTTTTTATTTTTTTTTCGTTCTCTTTATTTTTTAAAAATGAAATAAAATCCAAAGTGCTATTTTAAAAAGAGAAAATACATAATGTAAAGGGTAAAAAAAAAATTTACAAGGGAAATAATTAGAGTAAAACGATGGCTAGAAAATAAACAGGGTAAAAGGGGGGAAAAAAACCGAATTGGGAAAGAATTCTCCCCCGGCTCAGACTTACTTCCCCTGAGTTTTTCCCCCGCACGGGAACGCCGTGAGGGAGATGGCTGAAGTCAGGTGGCTGCTCTGGGCTTTCCCACAAGCGTTCAGAAATCCCGGGGCCTCCGATACTCCCACAACTTCCCACGCCGGCCAAGGGCTCTGGGCACACGGGGACCTTTTCCTCGCCGGGAGGCAGGGCTGGGATGCCGAGGAGTGCGGTACTGGGGGTCGGGGAACCCCTCCCTGTGGCTCTGCAAGCTCCCCCCGCACTGCTGCTGGACAGTTCCTGGGGGGGTCTCAGCTTGAGCCGGGTTTAGGGGTCTCATCTCACCCCACAGCTCCTTGTCGGTGTTTTCTTTCCCACCTTGTCCCGGTGGGACCTTCCCACTCTGTCTCCCTCCTTCCCGCCCCGCTGGAGGTGTTCTTCCGGACCTGGGGGCTCAGAGCATCGTCCCTTTGCTCTGTCCCGTCCTGGGGTGGGGGGTTGGACCCCACCTATCCCTCTCCCTCGACCCCCAGTCGCCCCCATCATCCCACTGGGAGCCTTTTTGGGTGGGCTGGTGTCACAGGAGAGGCGAGAGCTAAGTGCGGGATGCAGGCATGTATTTGGGACTCTCTTTAAAAGCTGAGATATAGAGGTCAGCAAGGCGATAGGCGCCTGTCGCGACAGGTGATTTCAGCCTGGCTGAAACAGAGGGGGAGGAAGGAAGAAAGGGAGGAAGGAGGAAGGCCCAGGGTAACTGTAGCAGCAGCCGCGGCCGGGTCGGGCTCTGCAGTCCCTCGAAGCCGAAGACCGGTATAACTCCCCCGCCCCCGTAACCCTCTCCTCGCAGATCAGGGGGGCCAAGCTCGCCATGGGGGGAACGAACTGATGCTGCTGCGTGGCCGGTGGCTCCGGGAAGAGGATGGTGGATGGGTTTTCATATACGTATGATTTTTTTTCTTGTGCTGCCTTTCACCTCCGCGTTTGCAAACCTGTCCGAAAGCCCAGACAACTCCGGGTTTTGGGAGAAGGGCCAGCGGTTTTCTATCTCGTCCCCATCAGGAAGGTCCCCATAACTCAGTCAAAGGAGCGTTTCCCTGGTGCTGCAGGACCCAGGTAAAACACAGTCCCCTTAGAAAGCCCCTCAGGCCTCTGCACGACCCAGGCATGAGCTGTCTGGCCCCTTCCGATCAACCCCACCTTCCCCAGAGTTCGTAGGAAGGCACCGGGCAAGAGGTTTTTGGGGAAGGCCGCGAGCTCTTCTGTCGTTTTGGAGGGGAGAAGGAATTATATCCCTGAGCCCGGGGCAATACCGAGCGACCTCGCAACTGTACAGGGCCGTGCACGGCGAGGCGGCGAGGGGTGGGCAATTCCCGCCGGGAGATCATTCCTAAGGGAGCCCAGGACGGGATGCAGCAGGAGTGGAGAGCACTGATTTACATCCTCGTTGCCCCCTAGGCTGGGGTGCAGCAGGAGTGGGGAGCACTGGTTTGTGTCCTGTTCCCCCCTTCCCGGCACACAGCAAGAATAGGAAGAACTGATTTACACCCCTTCTCCTCGCCATCCCGGGATGCAGCAGGAATGGGGAGCTCTGATTTACACCCCTGCTCTCCCCATCCCCGGATGCAACAGGAGTGGGGAGCACTGATTTACACCTTCACTTCCACCAGTCTGGGATGCAACAGGAATAGGGAGCTCTGACTTACACTCCTTCTCCCCCCTCATTCCGGGATATAGCAGGAGTGGGGTCACTGATTTGCGCCTTGCTCCCCCCGAGGGCCCCGGGCGGGACCTCTCCTCACTGCTGCTGTAAAAGGGACTTGTCTGCTGGAGAGGAGGGAAAACACATCCAGGAGCGCCTCCATCGCCTGCTCCGTTATTTTTTTTTTTTTCCCCCGTTTAGGGAAAGAGCGACGGCCGAACAACATCAACAAGAATCCCTCTCTCCCACTTCCCCGGTCCCCCCGCAGCCATCGGAGCCGCTCGGAGGGCTGATTCCGGGTGGATAACGCAGCGAGCTCCGGGGATGCCGCCGGCAAGAGAGGGATAACAGGGATAACAGGCAGCACACGAGTTGGGAAGAAGGAACGAAGAGAAAAGCCGCATCCCCGCCTCCAAGGATTTCCCACCGCGAAGAGGGGAAAACAAGGAAGAATTTTGCAGGGGGAGGGATCTCAGGGAGAGAGCGGGAGCCCGTGTGTCTGTCTCCTGCCGTACATGCGAGTATTTATTGTTTTACTAATCCGTGCTTGGAGTGTCCCAAGTAGCGGGGGATTCCCCGAACTGGGGAGAGGAAGGGGCTTTAGGGGGGAAGACCCTCGTCCGGCTGCCCTAAGGATGCTCCGGGCGGGTTAGAGCAGCCGGGCTCCGTTCCATCCTCCCCGGCGAGGATGCTACCTGTGCGGGGAGGCTGCCAGGGAGGGCTGGTCCTCAGTGCGGAGACGAGAGGACCCCACCTCCAACCCTTTCTTTTACCTCCCCTTTTTTATTTATTTGGAGGTTTATTGCAATTATGGCACGGCGGATGGGTCCTGCAGCTCCCGGGGGCCGGTGGGTGTGCGCACCACGGGGGAGGGATGCAGAGTTACCGCCAAGGGCGGTGTCAGAGAGGTGATTTTCCCTCCCTCGCGTGGGGCCAACCAGTGAGAGGAGAGACCCCCTCATCCCCCTCGCTCCAGAAGCCGCCTCCCCTCGCACTCTGGCTGTG